GCCAAGAAACATCAAGATGGATGGGGGGAAAATCAACTCGGTGAACAACAGATACCAAGGATGCTGGCTTAGCAGTACAGATAAATGTGGGCTCACTATTTGGCAAGCAACCGGTCACAGTTGCCCTGTTTATCTCATATCTTATAAAAGCTTATTAATGATTTATAAAGTGTTCACAACCTAATTAATAAATTAATTACAAACTATTCGTAAACCCTTTATAAGGGTAGTCTTATTGTAAAGTGGTACTGAGAAAGCTATGAACATGGACAACACAGCTCATAAATAGCATATATAGCAGGGCAAAGAAGACATGGAGACAAAGCAAATGTTAAAGAGAGTGTGAAGCTGATGTTGTGTTTACAAACTGCAACCAACAAAACCTGATCATTGTGCCTTTAATGCAACCTGAGGAAATGTCGGCTATTCTGTTGAAATTGGGCTGTATAACTTAAACATAATTGACTTTAATGATTGAAATAAATAGTGGAAGACCCCGGGGTTTCGATAGTGGGAAAATATATATATTTTAAATTAATGTAATCATTTATAGTATACGTCTTTAAAAACAGCAGGTTGTGCTATGAGAGGAGGACCAGATAAAAACAAAGTTGTGTATGAAAACAATCAAACATTCTTTTGAAGAGATATACCCTGACTTATCGACGACTGGGGCCTGGTCGAAGGCTTTTTCCTTCAGGATCTCGATGGTTTTCTGGCAGGACACAGACGGTAACACAGTGAAGGTGGCAGAGAGCTTCAGACACTGGACCGTCATGTTCCACCACCTTAAAGAGAGAGGAAGTTATTTGACATCTGGATAAGATTTCCCGTTAGCCTTATGGTTAACTCACCAGGGTTTGAGGTCCATTGGCTCATCTGGGCTGAGGAAGCCCTTTTCACACATCCAATTGTCATTCAGGAACTTTGACCTGGACGTAGCAATGAGTTTGTGCACAAAACAAAACAGATAATTGACGACTCTTGTTTTTGACACGATACCACGTTTTGGTTAGGCTCAAGACTAAAGTTGTTACTTTCCATCATTATTAGGGGATGCAGCCAGCAATGTGTTGTTGTGTGGCTTCCCCTAACAGCCAGGCTCTTTGGTTTAGTATCAAAGTGTCTGTCTGTTTCCTAGTAACTTCATCATGGTGGACAGGCAAATTAAAACAACAGATAATCCTGACTGGACACTCACTGCACCATGTCCTCTGTCTGTTCCAGTATTCATAATGAGAAGCAGCCAACGTTCAGTAGAAGACACCAAAACACAAGGATAACAGTGAGGCTCAGTTAAATCAAGTATAGTAGAATTAGCACCATGTTAATTGGATGTTTATCTTTCCGGGTGTCAATATTATTAAGTAATGTTACGAGAGTTCAGTAAATCTGTGTCTTACATGTAGTTGCGGACAGAGTCTGCCAGGATGACCACGCAGCGCTGTCCCTCCTCCAGCTGCTGAGCCATCTTCACTGCTGCTGCCATGGCCGAGCCAGAGCTGCCACCTGCAGAAAAAAACAAAAAGGAATTCAAACGTAATGAGAGGAAACTAATGACTGTAGCAAAATGTACAATATCAGGAAAACCTGAAGGGTATCACAGTGATCGTACCACAAAGAAGGCCCTCTTCTCTGATCAGCTTGCGACACATGGTAAACGTCTCCATATCAGTCGATTTATACCACATGTCAACAAGCTACATGAAGGGAGAGGGAAACACATGTTTATTGCTCAGTGTGCAGATTAAACCAAAATGTGCATCTTGCACAGTTTAAATGTATGCATGCACAAACTCTCTTACAGATCTGTCCAACACTGTTGGGATAAAGTCGTATCCAATGCCTTCCACTTCATAAGAAGTCTTATTTTCATTTGATCCAATCAGAATGGAGCCCTCCGGACCCACAGCAACTATCTGAAACATAGAAAACAATAGTGAAAACTGTCAACTCTGAAGTGTAAAAATGTAAAGTCAGCACCACCGCCCTGAAACATAAACTCAACTGTACATCACATGTTCTCCATACAAATCTTCTAATCGTTTTAGCTAAATAAAAAGCAATGAATGAGGTTCTTAATCACAATGAGGTGTGTGTCTTGCCTTGACATTGGGGCACCTCTCCTTCAACTTCCGAGCAACACCAGTTAGTGTCCCGCCTGTGCCAACTCCTGCCACCAACATGTCCAATTTCCCTGGAAGCAAAAGCAACCCTTTCTTTTCCAATCTTTGTTTACCATAAATCTACACAGGACACTTATGGCTATTCCTTGGTCTTTGGTCTTCTAAAGGACTAAGCATAGAGCATCACTGAGCTAAATCATATTTTGTGGACTGCCGTACAATGTTAAAGCACAAACCACCACACTGCTCCAGTATCTCTTCAGCTGTGGTGTCGTAGTGAGCCAGAGGATTGCTGGCATTACGATATTGGTCCAGGATGTGTGAGTTGGGTATCTGGCTCTTCAGACGCCATGCCATGATTATGTGAGACTCTGGGGAGTCGAAGGCAGCAGCAGAAGGTGTGCGCACTACTTCTGCCCCGAGAGCTCTCAGCACATCCTCCTAAAAACATATAGTGGAATTACATTTCATTAGCCACTAGTCTATAATGCACTAGTATTAAATGAGGACTACAAATTGACCATTTCCATATCTATTACTCAATTACTATAACAAAACATCTGTTTACAAAATCTCACACTATGCTTTCAATATAATCAAAATCTCATTCATCCAGTCATATGCTCACTACTTCACAAACACATACATGTTTGCATTAAAACATGTTATTTAAAACACTTCAACATGAATAGTCCATGTTTGCGCAGCAACTCTGTGAGACAATGGACAAATCCAATGTAATAAATCCTGAGCTGAAGTGAATTTCATTTGGGAAGTAGTTAAATGAGACTTGGATTGCTCTGCATGCATTTTGTGAGGGTTTGTCAACTCGTGTTTTGATATAGATTTGCCGTCGTTAAATGTGTGTTGTTCTCTTATCCATATATTGTTCGTTCATCATGGAGCCGTGCCAGAAAAACTATGTTTTTCTCCAAAAATGTGAGCTAATGCAGGATGAGGATCTGACACATGATCATTTTGTTGGTAATATTCCTTTAAAGGAGTTGTGTACCTTCTCCATGCTCATCCTCTCAGGCATGGTTATGATGCAGCGATAGCCTTTCACTGCAGCTGTGAGGGCGAGGCCGAGACCTGCAGACGACCAGAGGAGGATTCAAGCAACGTGCCATGTTCCTTTAAGTTATAGTTTTCTGTGTTCTCGCCTTGATAACAAGCTGTTCCTACATCTTTCTTTACAGATACCTGTGTTGCCAGAGGTGGGCTCGATGATTGTATCTCCTGGTTTGAGGATCCCGGCTCGCTCAGCGTCTTCCACCATCCGCACGGCGATCCTATCTTTCACGCTGCCACCTGCGTTGAAGAACTCGCACTTGGCTACTAAAAAACACATTTAAAAAGAAACGTGAGTGTTGAAGTTTGATTCATCGTCTCTGCTATTATTTTATTGTTAATCACTGTTACAGTATAGGACACACAATCCAACAAGTTAGCATTGCAGGTTGCTTTTTTCCTTTTTCCCAACATAATTTTTTTGTGTATAGTATTATTTTAAGTTATTTAATCGGTTAACTATAACAGAACAGAAGCTTGTTCAGTTTTTGCAGATTATCTGATCAATTAGTGACAGGGACGGCAGGTGTGCATCATTATTTCATCTGAACAGACTGGAACTAGTCTGACCAAGTTGTAAAAAAACCTGCTGAGTGACATCCAATTCAAGTTTCATTCAAAGATATTTTCTTTGCATGCCAGCAGTAAATGAGGAATGTTACATGAAAGTGTTGCTTGTTATTCCTGTTATTTTGTTCAGAAAATGTTTTCTCTCACATTCACTATGGTATTTGTTTGTGATAAGTCAAAGTTGTATTATTATATAAAGCTAAAAGTAACGATTTTACCAAAAAAGAACGTTTACTTACAAATATCACACTTGAGTCCAAACTCTTTAGGGATTCTGTTCAAACGAACCAGAGGTGTGTCTCCAATTTTTCCAAGGATGTTGGGGAGGATGCTGGGGGGCTCCATGCTGTGATTGAGTGAAAAAGAAAAATTACAATCAGCAGTTAGTAAATACAATAGGATATTGTCACTTTACCTTATGAAGGTAATTTACATGGAAGGAATCCCTGTGGAGTATTTAACCACTGTTATGGACATATTGAAGAATGTTTCTATGCCAATGGGTTCTTACTATTCAACAAATCAACAAGTGGCGGTGACATAAACACAAAAACATGCAAACAAAGGCAGGGAAGAAGAAGACTGCAATTTCATAAACACTGATGAAAGACAGTACCAGTTTCAGATTTCAAAAACATTGCAAATTCATTGAACAGGTTTGTTGGATGGATACACAAAATGCGTCTTATTACTTTGCTTACCAAAAAACTCCACAGTGTCTTTAATATAGCAGAGTTAGCATTAATGTCATAGTATTACAATTGTAATTAGCTACAGCTGTGGTTTCCCTGAAAATAAATCAAAATCTGCAGAAATGGCTTGCTAACACAGCTGAGTCTCTGTTTAAAGTTGTTTTGTATTCTTTTGTATTTCTGTTTTTATCTATTTAACTTTTTATATGAATTCCCCTAACAATGTTTTTGTTACGTACTAATCCATACTAAATGATTACATTATCAATAAGGTTTTCAAATATTGATTATTTAATCACTTTAAACTGATTATTTTAACAAAGGCAAATATTGATTTCTATCTGACTAACATCACCCTCACCGTGCTTGGAGGCTGTGTGGAGACTCTGAAATGAGTGTATCCAGGCTCCAGGTACATCTGCTGGGCACATCAGGCCTGATCCAGTTCCACTTGTCAGCAGATTTGTCTCTGTAGTCCGGCTCAAAATGACTTCCAATCCCACTCTCATGGTGAGATTCAAGCTGACCTTTAAGACAACCCTGTTCTCCATTTGCAGATGACATGTGACGACTGGCAGACATTTGACCCTGACTGATATCTGCTTTTATAACGTTTGCTTGAACTGGGCAAAGGGTAGAAACTTCTTCGAAAACATGTACTTAAAATGTACTGCATGGATCACCTGTATGGAGATAGGAGAGGTATTGCAAGCACACATCCAACATTAACAAAATCCTGACTTTAATAAATAAATAGCATTTTCTTTCTACTTAAATCTGGCCCAACATACTTGAGAGTTTGACTCAGTTTGGACTTTGTGAACTAAATGATTATTTCACAGAAAGGTTTAAAACAGTTGATTATATCACCAGAAAGAGAGATGCTGTTCTGAATATAGAAGTGCAATTTAGGAGGTTAATGAAAATTATCTTTGGTCTTCTTCCTGTCATGTTTACATTGTAAAACACATTTTGATTTGTCAAGAACAGCAACTTTGCCCTATTTAAAATAAATTATGATGCTAATAATCTTTTAGACTACTTTTAGATGCAGGACTTTACTTGTAATTAAGTCGTTTTTAAATGTGGTATTACTACTTATACTTCAGTATATCTTAGTATTTTGTGCATGATATTTTATACTTTTATTTACCAACTTTTTAGACTAAACGTGATATGTAGAATTTTTTTTACAGATTAAATGATAGAATAATCATTGGCTTAATTTCTGTTTATGAGGTATAAGGAAGTTGCAAAAACATTTGAGTGGTAATAATAGGTTAATAATCATACTGTATCTTGAACAATACCGATTTTGATGTAGTCTTTTGTTCTATTTTATTTGACAGATGGTCAAAAATAAGCAATCCAGATAAACATTCTATCATTTAATTTAAAGAAAAAATATCCTATTGATCCTTTTGATTGGACAATATAGGCCTACGATTTAAAATGTTATATGAATTCACGATAACCATTGCAACAATTGTCCCAGACATGTTTTGGTTACTTCTCATAATGCCAACATGAAAATAAAGATCGATGGAATAGTTACCTTCTGTGTAGAAAACACGTTGAGGGTTAGGGAGCTTTGCACTCACCTATCAGCCGAGACATGATGCGTTCAGGTGACATGAAGCCTCCTCTCGGATCAGCCCCGCCTCTGCCTATCTCCATGTCCGGCCAACACTTGCATCCTATCCTGACGCTGCTGCTCCCATTGCAAACCCACTTTAATTAAAAAAACATTAGGCTACATAAATAACTAAAACCTACAACAAACCTACCGCTGGAATACATGTTTGGCAAATCTTGGAGCTCTTCCAATGTAAAGCTAGAGAACACGCACAAAACAAACAGTATGTTGCTCTTTCAAGTGCAGACATTAAACATACAAATATAAATGGGATGATGTTTGTCACATAAGGCTGACTTATTGTTCCCAATAGGTGTCGCTGTGACTATGACTCAATATGCTCGGGAACTAAACATAAGAAATTTGGAGCAAACTCTCACGCATCTGGCGTGTGACACACGCTTTCACTCTCAATCTCACGCTCTCGCGCTGCCCAAACTATTCTCACGCCAAAAACAAGATGAACCGGCGATCGTTTTTGGTTGGTCATTTACAATGTTGAGTTGACAGCTGCTCAAGCAGATACATTTCTTATCGCGACAGGCCTATGCACACAATAAAAGTGGAAACAAACATGTTTTGTTTGACTTTCATTAGTGAATGAAACGTTGTGCCCTTTAGTCTGTGTCCAATATTGTGTATTTGTATATCCTATATAAATGCTAAGGTCCCGCTGCTGGCACGATAGCAGTAATTTAGTGTGCATGTGTAATTAAACCCATGATATCAAAATCTCACTCCAGTCAGGTACCCAGCGTTGGCAACCCTGATAATAACCACTTGGTGTTTAATGGCGAGTGTTTCAACCGGTGTTCCATGTAATAGAAAGCTTTTAATAACTTTGTATACTTACTGTCGTAAGAAGGCAGGCCTAGTGACCAAATTCGATTGGATTAAATCTGTAGGAGTGTGTTAAAGAGCCTGAAAATACATGTTATACACGTGCAATTTACAAAAAAAAATTCCATTTCAATAGACAACCCTTCAGAATGGTCTATTAATTAATGATACATACTAATACTATGCATTATACTAAATACATTTAGCACTGTTGTTCACCCAAATCAGCATTAAAAATGCGGGAGGCGCCGAAAAGCGACTAATTTGCATGCAAGAACAAATGTAAAACCACCTTTGGCAAGAAAATACATAAAAAACTGGCTGCAGCGACGATGTATGCTTGATCTGTGCAAATTAACGAGATGCTAAACTCGTTTTTAAACATCATGTTTGATCCTATAAGGCTGAAAGTCTGCCGTTTTTCAAAAGACCCACAAAAATAAATGTTTTGCTTCCTTTTTTTTTTAAGAGACTGTAAGGCTCAAGTCCAGGATGGTCAACTGTTAAGTGCTTCAGATGGAGTTAATATGGTGTTGAAATTGTGACCCATTAGCAATGTAACAAGTTTATTCAATTTACTTTCAATTATAGTCATTGTGTACATTTAGTACTGCATCCCATCTGGAGCAGCTGGTGCTTTAGAAAACCATTTATGCAATCCAATAACACGTACAATTCACAAATCAGTCATAATCAGTAAAAATGTTAAATTTAATGGAAGTGAAAGTCATTTTCAGAAATCAAGAAAAAAACATGTTCATCAATGCTGTCACAGCTTCAAAATCTGGTACCTTTTAATAAGTCCTAGAATAGTTCTGGATGGGTACAAACTTAAAAAAAGACCGGGGGTGGATACAGGGAGGGAGGGACAAGTAGTCACGGGTGCTGCTTCAGAATCGTCCTGAACGCTCTCTGTCTCTAGAGCGACGTCTCTCACGGTCACGGCCACCTCCTCCTCCTCCTCCGCCTCCTCCGCCTCCTCCTCCGCCACCACCACCACCTCCTCCTCCTCCTCCGCCACCACCTCCTCCACCTCGACCTCTGTCCCTTGAGCGAGATCGCCTCTCTCTCGATTGAGACCGGGACCTATGGCGGCTGTGGTAGAGAAGGAGTAGTTATTATAAAATGCCACACAAACAACTACGCATGCATTTTTACTTAATGCCTCAATGTAATACTGGATGTGTTCGTACCCCTTCCTCCGACGACCATAGAGTTCCCTCCTGAGTTCACGTGAGATGGGCTTCAGATGCATGAAGTTACAGAAGCCACCACGAGTACATTCCCTGTGGAGAGAAGGCAACGGGTAGCAGAAATATCAGTAAGGTATAAGAAGATAAAATCATGTTAAGAATATTTGCTACATAACGTTATCTGTTTGAAATTATTTCAGAAAGACGAGCTGCTGCACTGCTCTGAATGTCAAGAAAGCCTATTTAATACAACAAATGTGATGTGAATTGAATAAGGGGATACCTGAGAGATTCTGCTTCAGTTTATAGTTAAAATAAAACAAGATAAATGTTGACACACTTGGTAAATATACAAATGAGAAGCAAGTTAACAGGAAGTGGGTTCAGGGATATAGTAGTGACCAGACATTATGTTTAAAGTGGTACTCTGCAGCTGACGCCTACTTGCTTGTTGTGATGTAAAAGAATCAAAATGGTAACCATGAGGTATGAATGCTTGATATTGGTTAATCATTAAATAGGACACATGTATTCACATAGCACTCACCCCATCTCGTATTGGCGACAACAGGCTTCTCTGAAGTCTGTTACGGGAGACAGCTCAGCATGGATGGGCTGTCCATTAAACCACCGATTATTCAGGTCTATCACAGCCTTCTCCGCATCCTCTTCATAACGGAACTACAGAGGAGACAGACGGAGAGTAGTTGATGATAGAACTCAGTCACTGTTTCTAAGCTAACAACCTTGGTATTCAGTGATGCAAACACAGGTATGGTGAAAGAAGAGAGAACTATTCGAAGCAGAAAAAAAACTGCGTAATATACCATCTGACAAAGGCCTTTGCTATAATGCTTAAATTAACTGGCCATTCTTTATACAGGGTTCCTGCAGGTTTCGCCAACTCAAATGTAAGACTTTTTAAGACCACTTTGAATAGAATTTAAGACCTATTTCACGGCAAAAAAGTATGAAGGAAAATTGCTATGAAAGAGAAATACGTCCCATAATTACTTACAAAGTAAATGTATTCATGTTCAACATAAGAACAATGACTGAACATAACAGCATAACAGTACAGAACTGTGTTAGCGTGTTAGACAAAAAGTAAGTGTGTGTGTGTGTGTAGTGTGTGTGTGTGTGTGTGTGTGTGTGTGTGTGTGTAG